AGCCGCGCAGCCGCCGCCGCCCGCAGCCCCGAAGGTGCCCGCAGCCTGCCCAGCACCCGCAGCGCCGCCATCTTGCCCTTGGCACTGCGCATGCGCGCCCCTGCCCTCACCGCTGCGAAGGGGGCGGGGCCGGGCGCCATGCTTGGGGAGGGCAGGCGAATCCCTGCTGTGCCGCCATATTGACCGTGGGCAGCTCCGCCGCCATCTTTACTAAGGGAAACAGCCGGGAAATGGCCGCTAGGGCCGCTGCCATCTTTGTGCCGGGCATAGGCCGGCGGCGGGATGGGGAGTCCCGTGGGGATGGACACGGGGACGGAGGGGACAGGGATGGGGACAAGGATGGGGACAGAGGGGAGAGGGGACAGAGGGGACAGGGATGGGGACAAGGATGAGGACAGAGGGGACAGGGGCAGGGGGGACAGAGTGATGGGGACAGAGGGGACAGGGCGAGCAGGATGCACATGGTTAACGAGGAGTGGGGTGTCTTGGAGTGATGGTGGGGGGACACGTGTCCCTGCTTGGGGACCACGGCAGCCAGAGGTGGCCCCTGTCCCTTCTTGTGACACCCCCAGTGCCCCCAAGTGGGTGCTGGGGGGGGACAACAGGTACCAGGGTGCCATGTGGGTGGTGGGGCTGGGGGGTGACCAAAATTGTCCTGTGTCCACTCCAGCCAAGCCGCACCCCCAGCCCCCACCCTTGGGGAGTTCCCAGGCTCTGGCATCTGGGCTCGCCCCCCCTCCTGGGGGACACGGGGACCATCCTGCTGTGCCAGCACCCTCCACGTCCCCTGCCCCCCCCCCCACGTCCTCACAACCACGGGGTCATGGCGGCTCCCGCAGCCTTGCCCTGCGTCACTGTCCCCAGTGACGCCAGCAGCCGCCCGGCCCCCACGTCACGGCTGTTCCTGACCCGGCGTGAGTCACGGTGGCCGTGCGAGCTGATGCTGTCCAGATGCTGGCTGCTGGCAACCCCTCCTCCCGGCACAGGGCCACCCTGCTGGGGCTGGATCCGGCCACAGGCCAGGAGGCTGAGCCAGGAGGAGCCTCCTGTGCTGAGCCCCTGCCGGCACCCAAGGGTGCCCCACGGCCCGGACCCCAGACCTGTGGGGGATGCTGGAGCTGGGAGACACTGGAGCTGGGCAACACTGGAGTTGGGGGGATGCTGAAGCCAGCAGATGCCAGAGGTGTCGGATGTTGCTCGTGGCAGATGCCAGAGGAGGCGGATGTCGGCCAGAGCAGATGTCAGCTCCCAGGGATGCCGGTTGTGCCGGATGCCAGAGCCAGCAGATGCCGCAGCCCATGGGATGCCGGCTCTGGCGGATGCTGACTGTGGCAGATGCTGCTGCCCAGCGGATGCTGCACATACAGGCTGCCAGCCATGGCAGGTGCCCAGGCTGTGGTGGGCTCCGTGCCCCACTGGTGGCACCGCTCCTGGGCACGGGTGGGTGCCGGGCAGGTGCTGTCCCAGCCAGGCCCGGCTGTGGTGCCGGTGGGGTCCCATGGGTGCAGCCGAGCACCGCTGTGGTGCTGGTACAGAGGCCCTTTGTGCAGCGGCGCCGGGTGCTGCCGGCTCCCTTTGTGCAGGGCCGCGTCACCCTGTTGTTCTCCCGGGGATGGCGGGGATGGCACTGGCACCAGCACCCACACAGCAGCACCCAGTGCCACACAGGGCACCCCCAGACAGGGGTGCTGGGGGGTGACGGGGCAGGAAGGGTGGCTGGGCCCAGCCCCCCATTCCGAGAAAGGAGGAAGCAGGATGCGGCCCGTGTCCTGCCTGGCCGGGCTGGGGGCCAGGAGGTGACTCGGGGTGTGTGACACAGCGGGTGGCCCTGCTGGGAAATGTGGACACAGGGAGGGGACGGAGGGGCTGAGGCTGGATGCGCTGGGATGGAGGGAACAGGGAGGGGTGAGGAGGAGGAGGAGGGATGAAGGAGACAGGCAGGGATGGGGATGGGGATGGAGCAGTGGGGTATTAGGGGGCAGAGGGTGCTGCAGGGTGGGGGAGCACCCCGGGGTGTCCCCAGCCCGGTGCTCACCCTGGGCACACCACAGTCACCCCTGGCAGGTGCCCACACTGACCCCGGGCTCTGCCGTCCCAGCGAGGGGGTCCCAGTGCAGGGGTCTGGGCGAGGAGCTCTTGGCGAGGGGATGCTGGTGCGGGGGTCCCGGCAAGGGGATCCTGGCGAGGGGGTCCGGGTGCTGGGTCCTGGTGCAGGGGTGCTGGTGAGGGGGTCCCGGTGCGGGTGTCCCAGCGAAGAGGTCCCAGCGAGGGGATGCTGGCGAGGGCATCCCTGAGCGGGGGTCCCAGCGAGATGCAGGAGCCTGGGCGAGGGTGTCCTGCCGAGGGGATGCCGGTGCTGGGGTCGCGGCAAGGGGATCCCGGTGCGGGGCATCCCCCGGCCCGGCCCTGCTCCCGGGGGACCAGGCTCTGCCTTCCCGGAACGGCCCGGGGGGGCCGGGGCCACCCC